GGGATTTTTCACTGATTCTTTCGTTCCACTCCTCATGTTTATTGGGTTATTCCATCCGCGTTTGTGTACCAAACCTTCAGTTTCTTTTCTATCATTGTGGTCATGCAAGAATATTGGGGTTGGGGGAGCGAGAGCCTTTGGGTGGGGGCCTATAGGGGGCTGTGGGTAGGTGGGGTTGTGTTGATGGGGGTGGGGTCAGAATGCCATAAGGGACAGCGTTGGGGTGAGGTTTGTGATATGGGGTTGGTGGCAGAGGGAACAGTGATGGGTTGTAGTATAGGTTGCTCATTTTGCGTTGGGAAAATGTCGGTTGAGTCTTTTGGTGGGAGATTCTGGGGGGTGTGTTTGCCCTTCTCCTGTGTCGGGTCCCCCTCATTTTCGTTGCTTCTCGATCCTCCTTCGTCTCTTCCCCCTCTCTTTCAGTGTAGTCCTTTCTTCTTGTGTTCTTCGCGGTTGAGGTATACTCTTTGGTACCCCTCTTTGTCCCTCCAGTTTTGCTTTCTCTTGCAGAATCCTGGTTCGAACTGATTTCTCCTTGAAAGTTACTCTGACAGGCCGTATCCTTCCACTCGCAAACCACCCAATTCTCTGAAAATTTGTCACCCTGGGTCATATCGCCCTCCCCTATTGTTTTCATGTTTCCTTCCAATCATTTTTTCTCCTCCTGTTTTATTTCTTCGAAGTTTTCCCCCTTGGCTTCTTGGAGCCCGTACACAAAAACTGACCTCCCCCTTTCCTCCTCCCACTGAGTCTCCATCTGCTTCCCCCGAGGCATTTTATTTCCTTCCATTGACATGTTCTTGCCTTCAGTCCCTGTCATATCTGAAATTTTCTATTCTCAGTGAACTGTCTTCCTGACCAGCTGTCCCTTGCTACTGCAGTTGGCTGTTAGAATCTCTGCATGTAGCATACCTTCATTGTCTTCGGGACCTGTCGTTTGATCTTAGTGTGCTCATCGTCTTTTCCCGGGCCCCACGTGGGTCTGATGGGGCCTTCGTGTACGGCATGTCTCCGTTGTTGCTTACCGTCCCCTTGTCTGCGCCTGACTTAAATTTTCCCTGATGTCACATCTGAATTGTCATTTGTCTCTCTAATCTGTTTCAGGCTTTGCAGTTTCTCTTCTAAGCACTGTATCCTAGCTTCTGCTGCTAAGACCTGTACTTCCCACTTCCTGCACTCTTCAGCTATCCGCTCCTCCATTTTCTTACCAAGCTCTACTATCTTCCTTCCCCACTCTTCCTCCCTTTTTTGGAGCTCTAACTCCCAGTCTTTCCTCCCTGGTTCGTCTACCAGATCTCTGGTTTTCCATCCTCTAAGGCCACCCATTTTTTTTTTTTTTTTTTTTACCACAGACAGAAGGCTAGAGGAGGGAGAGGGTGCGGGGGGAGAGGAAAGGGTAGAAAAAGGGAGAGGGGAGAAGAAAGGGTAGAAAGAGGGAGAGAGAGGAAGTATGGGGGTGAGGATAAGACCAAGGGGGGGAGAGAAAATGTGAGGGGGGAGAGAAAGGGTAGTGAGAGGGAAAAGAAAAGGGGGAGAAAGAGAGGGGAGGGAGAAAGGAGGGCGAGGGAAAAGGCTATGAGAGAGAGAAATGGGAGAGATTTGGGGAGAGAAGCCTATAGAGAGAGAGGAGGAAGAGATAGGGTTATGGGAGTGAGGAGAGGGAGAGGGAGAGAGAGGGAAGAGAGGGGGAGGAGAGGGGGAAGAGAGAGGGAGAGAGGGGGGAGGGAGAGAGAGGGAAAAGAGAGAGAGGGAGAGAGAGAGAGGGAGAGGAAGGAGAGAGGGGGAGAGAGAGAGAGAGGGAGGAGGGGGAGAGAGGAGGGAGAGAGAGGGAGAGTAGGGGGAGAGAGAGAGGGAAAGAGGGGGGGGAAGAGAGAGAGAGGGGAAAAGAGAGAGAGAGAGAGAAGAGGAAGGAGGAAAAGGGGAAGAGTAGAGAGAGAGAAGGAGAGAGGGAGAGAGAGGAGAGAGAAAAGGGAAAAAGAAGATAGAAGAGAAAAGGAGGGAAGGGAAAGAGAAGGAGGGAAGGAAGGAAGAGGGGGGAGGGAAGGGGGGGGGGAGGGAAAAAAGGTTTTGTGGGGGGGAAGGGAAGGGTGAACCCAAGGGGCAAGGGCTGTGGGGGGAAAAGTTTGGGGGGGAGGGGACGGGTCGAGGGTCAGCTCTGGCCCATTGTGTTGGGGCGCGTTGGTGTGGCCCAGTTTTTATTTGTCCCAGTTTTACAATCAGGTTTTATCCGAAAAAACAATTAATTTTAACCATTAAAACAAACCTGAGAGTAATTCTATAATATTTTAAACTAGCGTGTGTTAACAAGTCATTCTTTCACCCAGTTTTACTACCTTTTACTACATGTGTACCCCAATACTTGCTTCTCAGATTGTACTGTCTTTTGTCCTAAAACATTATCTCTCGAAACTGTTGTCAGGGCTTTGTCCCCTTAGCCAGACTTAATCCTCCTGCCTATTCCTTGCTCCTACAAATTTTATCTTCCTACTACTGCTAGGTGTTGTGTGTATGATAATCCCTCTGGAGCAGGGTTTAGATAGCGAGCTACCAGTGACCGTAGGGCCGGCTCTACCACTCAAACTTCCCGCCAACCACAAACAGGTGATTTGTACGTTACTCCTCAGAGGGGACGTCCATCCAGATGCCTGATGTACGATGCTCGCTGTACGATGACTCGTGCACCTCGCCCTTCCGCCGCTGACTTCTTCAGCTATTCCTTTTCTCGTTGCCCTTTTGAGTCCTCATTTACCACACTTATCACTTGTATACTGCTACTTTTATAATTTACACTTCACTTTTGGTAAGTACACTTCTTATTTGTGATGACACCCAACCTGTTATGGCGGCTCTACTCCCTCAGGCCTACTGTGTGTGTGTGTGTGTATGTGTGTGTGTGTATATATGTTGTATGTATATATGTATGTATGTATATATGTATGTATTATAATGTATTATATATATATTATAATTATATATATTATATATATAATATATATATATATATAATTTTAAAATATATAAAATATATATATATATATTTTAATATATATAATTTTATATATATATATATATATATATATATATATATATATATATAATAAACATGTTAAATATATATATATATATATATATATATATAATATATATATATATATATATAATATATATATATATATATATATCTACACACATGTATATATAAAATAATTTAATTAATATAAAAATAAATTTTAAAACCCAGTTTTATTTTTTAAATAATTTTTTTAATATATTCTAGTAACTTATTTAAAAAAATAATTAAAAAATAAAAATTTTGGATAATAAAATAATATAATTAATATAATTTAAATAAATTATATTATAAAATTTCACCACCGTGTAAATTACATATATTTTTATCCAACACACTGAAAAAAAAGGGGGTCCATTTCTTTGGAACCAGCTCTTTTGGGGACCCTCAGCCTCATGAAGGGTTTCCACCTTTGGGAAAATGAAAGATCCTTTCCCTTGGGTTTCTGGGTATTGCTTCCTCCACCCCCTTCCTTATATCAAGTAGATTTATTGGGGAAGGTTACAAATTTCAAAATCCTAGGGTTTCATAGATCCATTTAGGGGCTTTACTTCCTCAATCCTTCTTGTCCTGAGCATTGGGCACTGCGTGGCCCAGGTTCCCAGAAAGTTGCATATTCTCCCCCCTCTGATGAACACAACTGAAATCGAATATGAAACCGCGCCCTGGCCTGATTCATGAAGTTTTAATGGCCTTGAGGTTTAGAGCAAAAAACCTTGGGTCTGGTCCCAAGGTTTTGACCCGAGGGATTTAGGAAAGCAAAGGGAAAAGGGCCTTCCATCTGGGGGTTTTCTTCTTGAAACTGGAAACTCCATTCAGTTCGGGTAAGGGGGGTTTGTGTCATGGCCAATGGGTCGGCAAGGGTGGGCCCACAAGGCTTATTTTCCCTTAGGGGGGCTGTCTATTTAAATTTGCCCTTGTCAGGGGTTTACTTGGGGTTCCAAGGATGGGGAACTGGCTGTGGCGAGGCTTCTCTTTATGATGTTGTTCACCTACTCAAGTCTAGCATACTTCCCTTCTGATGTGAGACACCCAGACCATGAAGTCCGAATTGATCAGCCGTCGCCCTGCCTCAAATACATGTATGTTCGGTGAGTATAGGGGCGGCTAGGTCAAGAGCAACAGAAATCCGATTGGCCTGCTGGTCAAGTCGAGTGCCCAGAGAGGAATTGGGAACAGCTAGAAGGAAATCTCCTGAATGCAGTGCCTTCACTGCTAGGAGACGAGCTTTGTCCTTTCTTGAAGCGTTGGTAAGCGTTGTGTTGGCTATTTTTTCAATGATCGGTTTGTCACAGTGGGACTGTTTGTGCTCTTTGGGAGGAGCTGGTCTACTGGAGTCGGCAAGGGTGTCCCACCACACGGCTTATTTCCATTAGGGGTTCTTGTAATACATATTTTATTATTTAAGCCTTAAAAGTTAAAACAGGAGATATACTAGGAATAAGGTAAACTTAACCACAAGGAAAAATAAAGCACTGCTAGTGACAGAAGAGGTGACAAGATAGTAGTACCTTTATATGAATCGGGACTTGAGAAAAGCAACGTAACTGACATATATTCACCTTAATAATTGAAGAAGCGGCTGAGCTTTGAGCAAACAGTGAATGTATTAATAATGTTCAAAACAGATGTGAAGCAAGAAATTCTAAATTACAGACCAGTTTACTTGATATGTTTGCACTAACAGTCAAAATGTAAGGCAAAGGATAATGGATCACCTGAAATTCTGTGTACATTATTTTTGTTATTAATGATCATTATTACAATTGTTATTATTAGCTTTAAAAATAAGTGCTAAACCCTATTAAATTGTTATTTTAAGGTACCCGCTAATTAATGCTGTTGAAATATATAGATTTTTTTATGGTTTGTAATATTTATATTTTAGGCTGGAAGTGTGTTGCGTGTTATCCTGATATTTTTTTTCCAGGAGGCCCACCACCACCCCCACCCCCACCACCCATCCCGGGAATCATACCTTCGTCTCGACTCCCTTCTGAGGTAAGTATATATATCTCACATTCTCATTTTACAGTAACATTGAACATATACCTTCACATTGTTTTACATGTTTTACATAAGAGTTGTTATCCTGCCTCAGCATGTCAAAGTAGTCTTACTGAACCGCTATTCCCTAGAGTGCAACTCAACAGCTGACTAATACCTAGGTACTTTTTATTATTATTCAATTCAATTCAATTCAAAGTTTATTCTCTATAAGGATTACAATGCTGAGTTTACAGAATTTGGTTATTGTGTGGTTTACATGTAGTAAAATAATAATTACAGAGTGTACCACTAGAACACCTAGCATGGCTAGGCATTTCGGGCAGACTTATATTAAATCTTAAGTTTAAAATATTACAAAATTGAGTTGGTATTATGGCCAAGTGACTAAATACTAGTTGTGAGTTTAGCAATGTGAATGCTTTTGTTTTGGCACTATACATAGTTTCAGTATTGGAGTATCACAGGCCAACTTATGACTAGTTAAGATTCATTATTTTGAGATTGAGATTGATATTTCTGTTTATGGTCAAATGGGTGAGTGAGTGTAAGTGTGAACCACCAGGTGGTATTCGTATTATTAGTTGACAGGGTGTATCAGGGAGATAAGATGTTTTCTGATGGTAGTTTTGAAGGTGATGAATGTGTCTGCAGTTTTGGAATTTTCAGGTAGGGTGTTCCAGATTTTAGGGCCTTTGACATACATTGAATTTTTGTAAAGGTTTAGTCGAACAAGGCCAGTAGGCAAACGTCTCGTCCTCGTGCTGTAGTTAAGAGGTTCGGTGTTAGTGCCTTTGCTAGGCTGTGGAAAGACGGGCTCCTTCAAATCTGTATTCCTTTGGTCATCTTTAACAGTAATGCAATATATCCAAATAGTTCTTCCAGAAGAAACCGATCATTTACCACAAGAATGTAGTAACTTCTACCTTCACCTCCAGTATGAGTGAGCTGTGGTATCGTATCTTTTGTACTAGATGGGCGGAGGTAGCATTGCAAACTTGTACTACATGAAAGCCTCCTCAGTGTCTCCGTGATAGTGGGTAGCCTGAACGTGGTGGCGTGGCTTGAGCAGCTTAGCCTGACAAAAAACCCAGCAGCCCCCCCCCCTTCCTCCTCTAGTTGGCTTATGTAGCAGGGATTTTCCCCCAGTTAAATTTTGATCGTGGGAATTATGGATGGGATCATTGTTACTCTCCTTGATTACCCACAATTTGCGATGTTAAGGTGGACCTTTTGGTTTACCACCTGCTTGCACATAGACTGAGCATCCGGAGGCTGTCTGGCGACGAAAGTGTTCCTTTGGGATGAGGAATGTTGCAGCGTCTGACATGTGATATAAATGATTTAGAAAACTGACAAGTCGGTTTTCTAACCCATTTATATCACATTCCTGGGGTCATCATATGATCTAATATCCACCAAATTTCAAAGAAATATTTAGTGACAGGCATGTGGCTCTCTCGTGTATCGTGGTGACCCAGTGCAGAAAGAGCATGCGACTGTGTCGTGGCATTATTTCTCGCCGCTTACTCTAGTATGAGTGATGAGGATATTCATCTTCTGAATCCTGGAGTGGCTGTGGGTCGGAGGATTAAGAATAAGGTGGGTAGTGTTCTGGTAAACACCAATCCATTGGTCCTCACATTCGACCAACCGAAACTTTCCTCCTGTCTTTGGGGAAGAGACCTGGATGTACAGCCATATGTTTCTTTCTCAATATGTTTCATGTGCCAGAAATTTGATCACCAGAACCACTGGTATTTTATATGGCACCAACTTCGTCACTGCCTACTCCTGTACTGGGGTTTTGCAGTGCGTAAACTGTGAGAGCTCCCACAAGGCTAATTAATGATAAAATGTGTAAGGTACACAAGTGTTCTGCCGCCCCGTGTGTACGTATAGAAAATGGTTTCTGTAGAGTCCAGTAGATGAGTACATCTTCACCATTGTAGCCGAAGTTGTGATTGTTGCTTCTAGCAGCAGGACCTAATGAGGTATTTCTGAGGTGGTTCTGTGGATCATCTTCCCGGCTCTGACTCGGATGAAGTCTTATATGATAGAAAGGATTATTATATTTGTGAAGCGCTAGACCTGTGGATCATTCAGCACAAAGTGTTAGAAGCTCGATCCTTCGTCCACTAACCGCAAGACACATGAAACTTTCGCAGCAAGCCAGGCTGGGGAGAAGTTTCAAGTAAATATTACATTCTTATGAACTATTAAGAAATAACAGTAAAGGTATGTAAATACTGAAAGGAAGAAGAAGTTTGTAAAATTTACCTCTTGAGTATAAGGCAGAAAGAAAAGATCGGCAATTCTGCCACAGTGCTAAAATTTAACAGGTAGTACTTACCTGGATTGTTGATGCCTTCCAACCAACTGAATGCTGTGAGATCATCCTCTGTGGGCCAAAGTCCTCCCCCTCCCTAGAGGATTTCTCCTGTGCAGCTTTTGGTCACAATGCTGGTGGCCCGCCACCTGTTCAGGTGACTATTTCCCTTGCTTGACTTCCTCTTGTGCCATCTCTAGCTAGCCCGGAGGTTGGTGGGTGCGCTCATGAAATAGGAGGGGTATGGGGACACACCTGTCAGGAGAGAGCCTAGTAGAGGCACAGGGTAAGGGCGGAATGCCCTGCTTCCTCTAAGAATCACACACCTCCTATCCCTGAGAAAGGGGTCTGCTGGGGCTAAGTCATCTGGGGTGCATGGCCAATTGAGCAATCTTCAGTCGCCTCTGACAACAGCTGATGAATGCAGCTGGTGGTGTGCTGCTCTGGGACCCCGTCGAGTACCAGAACTTCAGAGTTTTAATGTGTAGTCCTCTGGCTATGGGAAGATTCAAAAGCAGGACAAAAGGATTGGAAACACACTCAGGAGCAAGAATCTTCTGTCTCTAGCTGAGGCAGCGTGTCATGTAGGATGCTCTACCTCCTAAGGGATGTTGGTTGTCCTCAGTATCAAAAACAAATTGGAAGAGGAATGCAGAGTCCTCACAGCAGTCGAAGGATTGCCAGTCCTGTCTCTGGCAGGGAGAGTGCACTGGATGCTCCAACAGGCGTCATCTGTGACCCAATGCCAAGCCGTGAAGGTAAATACAGATTTAGTCTGCACATTTTTTTTTTTTAACTTTCGATCATAGAGTGATAAGTCATAAAATAATAGGCATAACATGAAAATTAAGAAAGTGGATATTCAGTCAGGTTAATGCATAAAGCACAGAGCAGTAGTAAACAAATACAAAATCTAGTCTTAGCAAAGTAAATAGCTCAGACTGCTCATCTCCCCAAGGCATGGTCCTGGCACCATTACTGTCTCATTATCATAGCAGGCATAATACTGACCACAGCTTTGTATCATACCTTGTGGACGATACCAAAATAAGCATGAAAGTTACCCTGGTAGAAGACAATAAAAAGTTGCAAAGAGATAACAACTAAATCTTCCAGTGTTGCAACAGTAAATAACAGTGTTCAGTAGTGACAAATTCCAACTGCTCAGATATAGGAAGAATGAATAACTCGTGAGGAGCACTGGATACAATATACAAGACTGTCTCACAGAACACGATAAGGAAATTGTTATCAAGGCCAGAGAAAATGACAGGGGTGGTAACCGATTCTTCAAAACCAAGAAAAAATAATGCCATTGGTGACATTGTTCAAATCACTTGTTTAGAATATCACTTGGTGTTTGATGGGGCTGATAAGGCAGGTGAAAAATTAAGAGCTGGAGAAGATGCAGAATACAGAAATCGTTTAATACCCGCAATGATTCAAGTATTGACCTCGACCTTAAGATCTTCACTGCCCGCAGACCCAATAGAGCTTCTGAAGTACTGGGATTGTATTCTCAGGAATGAAGAAGCAAGGGATACCAGATATTTATGTACCATACATGGAAGATGTTACTTTAGGACCCAGTACCAAATTTGCACACTAATAGTATCCTGGGGTGAGAAAGAGAAAAATGAAAAATAGACCCAGCGAAATGCAGGCATACCACCTGGACAACTTATGTACTCTGAACATTTTTGTGCTCATAATGTGAATGAATTTAAAGAGAAAATGCATTGGATAACTCATTAATTGGCTTGGCCCATTCCTGTTATATATTTAATAGTGGTTTGTTTTTGTGCACAAATTATTGATGGTGCTTATTTAATATATTACATATTATTAATAACCGGTTAATTCTTGCCCCGTGGAGATTATTATTATAATAATCAAGGGGGAAGCGCTAAACCCGGAGGATTATACAGCGCCTGGGGGGGGGGGATGTGGAAGGCATTCAGGCTTAATTCGGGGAACTGGAGCACAGATCCAATTCCCTAAATCAAGAGCCCCTCACCAACATCAAGAAACCTTCCTTGAGGGGTGCCCCGTGGAGAATTTACAGAGGTGCTCTAGGAAAGGAGGTGGAGAGGGTTATATTAAAGTTACATATGACCTTTGAATGTAACGTGGAAACCCACATGGATAGAAATATGAAACAGATGAGAGATATCTGTGCGTATATTTAAGCCTCAGAGACCCTCATCATCAGATCAAGAGTATTCCTCATCTGGAGTAAAGTAGAACCCCTGTATCCACTGATTCAGTATCCTCGGTTTGTTATCCACGGTTTACTGTGGCCCAAAAGTGCCTCTTAATTTTGCATAATAATGGCCCCAAAGCACAAAAGTAGAGAAGCTGGCAGTTCTTCAAAGCCTAAGAGAAGCCGTGAAGTGCTTCCCATCAGTAAAAAAGTGATAACTGTAACTAAGCCAACAAGAATCTGAGACAAGTGTCTCATTACTTGACCATATCTGGACCAATACCATATCTCCACTACAAGCAGGTATAATCACAGACTACACTACAGACCACTACCCCACCTTTCTCATAACCAACTTGTGTAAATTGCCTCAAGACCCAAGAAAGATCGCATTTCACCTGCATGACAAGCCATCGGTAAATAATTTAATATTACACTAGGTGACATTGATTGGCAGAGAGA